CCCCCCCCTCCCCCCCGGGCCTCTGGTCACTGACTGCCCGGGGCACGCTGGGCGTCACCGCCGCTTAGAGCCCTTCCTTCTCCCCCTACACCCGTTTTGCTGTGGGTGCGAGGGGCGCGGGCAAGCGGCTCTCTGCGGCAGCGAAGCAGTGGGCCCGGTCGTGGTTGAACCCGAGGGAAGAAGGGCTTGTTATTTGAAAAAGAAGGCAACGATGTGGGAAGCTCCTTGCTGTCTTCAAAATACTGCTTTATTTAACGCTTGTTGTGTTCCCTTGTCTCGTTGCAAGCTATCGTATTTGTTTTCTGTAGGTGGAGGGAAACAGTGAAAACCTTCTCTTTTAAAACTCCACAAAAAGCTGTAATCATATGTCACTGCCTGGGTCTCCAGACTGTCACTCCAGTCAATCATCAACATAGTCAATGCTGTATGTTATGACTATCAGTTGTCATGCATAGGTAATCATCAATTAGTGGCTAATCATACTGGTTCCCACAGAAAATCCCCAGTCTGTGTGTTCTCCTATTAAGTTTCTGAGTCTCAGCCCCCTGAAAGGCAGGCAGCTGCACTGCTTGTGTTATATTTGCTTATGCCTGTGAAGAGTTGATTATCATTTGTCCTAAGAATCCAGTGCCATGCTATGGCGGCATGAATTGATTTTGTAGTAGGCACGTGGTAGGTGACATAAAAGAGAACCAGTTTCCAGAATATCAGCTGGTAGATGTTAGGAAACTGACTACCATCTCTTTCCATGTGTCTGATCATTTGTATCTAGGCACGTGCAATTCTGTAGCTGCAAAAGGTGGTGACTGAGAATTCCGAAGTTGGTAAAGTTTGTGGCAATGATATTTAATCTTTGTTGTTGTCTTATCGTGCGTACCTCCAGCTCCCAAATGCACGCTTGTAATTCTGTTTAAAACTTGTCTGCTTTGGCTGTGTGTGAATTCAGAAGAGGAATACATACCTGTATGCTAAGGAACTGTTTTCAGTTTGGCTAATGCTACTGTCAAGTAAGTTAAATAAACAGGGACTCAAGTATCTTTCATACAAAAAAAAAAAGTTGCATCACTGTATAAACCTGTGGAAATGGGAAGGCCTTGAAAACTATAATTGTTCCATATGAGTGGTATTTTTGAAGACATAGTCGAGAAGAGACGATATACAGGCATTGCGCTTCAAGCCCTGTAGTGTTTGAGGGAGAACAAGCGTAGAAATCAGGCATGTGCAAACCAACATAGATTTCTGGGTTTTCTTGCTGGATTGTTAGGTTTAGCATATGTTAATTTCTTTTAATCTGTTTTATGAATATTTGATCATTAGTTGAGTTGTGTACACATTGTTTCATAAACTATTAGGGTACACAACAAATTAAAAAGTCTGTTAATTTTTCTTAAATATCTTTAACTTATGATATTTAAGTCCTATAAGATGAGTGAATGTTACTAAGAGTCAGATGACTGGAGTATAATTCTGAAGTTTGCTAACTGGAAAGGTCTTTTACCTTGACATGGTGCATTTTTTTTTCCTCTAGTTTGCAAGTCATGTGCTCTCCGAAGATTTTCCATCCAGCCTGCCCAGCAGAAGAAGATTCCAAACCGGTATTTGGGCCAGCCCAGCCCCTTCACACACCCACACCTTCTCAAACCAGGTTAGGTTCAGGCCCTGTGTAAGCCAATCATTGGTATTCTTTCTTGTCTCTATCTTGCTGAGATGTCTAGGACAGGCTATTGGTTTGCTGTATCATACAGGTATCCATGTTTTCAGCTGTTCATGATTACCTTCATTAGGAAGTAATTACATTTAATAGTTAATTTCCTTGTCTGAGATGATACTGATTCCAAAAACAGGCTTCACATGTTAGCTTTTTACCTTTTTCTCACGGAGTGTTCGGTGTCAGTGACCTCAGTACTGCAGTGGCATTTTGTGAGCTCGTTGTCCTGCAAATACATATGACTTAAGGGGGAAACCTTTGTGCAACCGGAACTGCCAGAGTGCTTTATAATCAATGTCTTGTGAGTCACAAAATAGATGTGTCATTCAGAAAATGAGATTGGGGAGAGACCTATTGATAAATGGACACCAATTGTCTAAAGAACATGCCACCTTAAGAAGAGTATTCAAGCTGTGAGGAAAAACTTGTTGAAAAAGAGACTTGTGGCTATAAAGGTAGATGGTAGTGATGAAAGAGAAGCTGAGGTTGTCCAGTTTTATGAGATTAATGAAAATTAGCATGTAGGTATGTGGTGATTGTGATTAAATCTAAAAAAAAAAAAAATCTTAAGTAAAAATAGATTCAGGAACATGCCAGGAAAACATTCTGGTTCTGTGTTCTTTTTCCATAGATAGGTATACAGAGAGAATAGATGAACCATGCACTTACATATTCAACTGTAGAATAATTCAGATCAGAAGGAACCTCATGAAACTAGCAAGTCAACCTTCTGCTCAAAGCTCTGCTAACTTCAATATTAGATCAGGTTGCTCAGGGCACTGATTAACAGCTCACAGTAAATGAGGCTGACACTTTAAAAGTACTCACAGCTGAAACACTGGAGATTAACTGTAGCTGCTCATAGTAATTCTGCGTTTAATAAAGGAGTGGTGTTTTCCGTAAAATAATACAACATTGTTTTATTGCAATTATTGTTTTAAAAAGAAAATGCTTTTCAGGCAAAGAGAATTTCCAGGCCAGAAGACAGATGGGATTCGCATGTTCTACCCTACTGTAGCTTCTGAACTTCACTGGCCTGTTTGTGATAGAACACTGACTGGAATGCAGCAGAGCGTAGGAAATTTGCGGTATAATATTGCAGAAATGTGCAGTCAGATTGCATTAAAACAATTTCTGTGTCCTCTGTCATTTCTAGATCTACACAGTGAAACAAATTTGGTGGTTTTGTTTTTTTCTTAAAAAAAAAAAAAAAGACTTTTATACCAAATAGGTGTTGGGGATGTATGGTGTTGAAAAGTTTAATGCAAATGCAATCTATGTGATTTTCTTAAACTTTCTTTTGTCAAGGAAAAACATTGTGAATAGAACTTCCCCACCCCACCCATGCAAGAACTGATGTACAGTAGTACAAGACAAATTTCAATTTTATTCTAGAATTGTCACTGCTTAATACATTAAAGAGGAAGAAGAGAGTATGAAAGTAGAAAGTTAACAGTATGAAAATGCAATGTATATTAAAATAGGGTATTAGCAAAAGTACTGATTAAGGCTTATATATTATAAGGAGTCTCACATTTTTAAAAATACATACTTAAGCTGTTGTTGGTTGTTCTTTCAACTTCAGTCTGGTTTTGGTGAGTATCTTGATCGCTGTACTTCATATCCTTCATGACTGGAGCAGTTTAAAACATACTTTCATTTGAGAGATCATTTGTTTAGTTAGAGTCATTGGGAATATAGTATTTAACTTTGGACAAATCCGAATCGTTAATTATTGAGAAAAGCTACATCAGCCCTGGAGAAGATCCTCTTCTCTTCTCTTAATTGGAATCTGCCGCCAGCCTGCAGTTCGTGGTTTCTTTCTGTCTGGAATCTTGTGACTGTGACTCTGCAACCACTGTGTTTCTGCCTGATCTCCCAGTATCTGTAACACTCAATCCACTCCTTATGGTTTAGAAGTAGTTACTTTATGAGTTGACTTAGTGTGTATTTGAAGAGACATTCTAGCTTTATCTGAGTAAATTAATGCTCAACCTCAGGAGGTAATCTTCTGTTCAATGTCCAGATGCTGTAAAAAACATCAGTTTTCAGCAGTCAAAGTCCAGTTTGCCTTGCCCCCCCTTCCCCTTTTTTTACATGCCTTTCTTGAAAACATCCATCTGTTTTGGATGTTTGTCTGTATCTACCAGGTTTTGTGATTTCTGCTTTTGCACTGAAAGACGTAACAGAAAGTTTGTGAAAATAGATTCCTGTCTTTGCATGATGGAGGAGCAGATTGAGTGAGAATGTGCTGTAGGGATGGAAGCTGAAGAGGTGCATGAGAGAGCAATGGAAAGACTAATGAGGGACCACAAGGAAGTCATGCATATGAAAGGTGTCAGGGAGTGGGCAGGAATCAGGCATGTGGCTAGTAAAATATCACGAGTGCTTTGAATTTCTTGATCGGATTTGTTTTGTATTCGTAGGAGAGGTAACCCCAGGACTGTCCCAGGTGGAATATGCCCTTCGCCGACACAAACTGATGGCGTCGATCCAGAAGGAAGCCCAAGGCTGGGACGGATTGGACCACACAGTGATTCTGCTATCCAACCCCACATATTATATGACCAATGACATCCCCTACATTTTCCACCAGGACACTAACTTCCTGTACCTCTGTGGATTCCAGGAGCCTGACAGCATCCTGGTGCTGCAGAGCATTCCTGGCAAAGCACTGCCCTCCCACAAATCCATACTTTTTGTGCCCCGGAGAGATCCAAGCCGAGAGTTGTGGGACGGGCCCAGATCAGGCACGGACGGGGCAATTGCTCTCACAGGAGTAGATGAAGCTTACACTGTCGATGAGTTCAGGCACTTGGTGGCCAAGCTGAAAGGTAACAAAAAATGGAGGGGCGAATGAGATGAGCCATGGTTTGCAGGGTCTGCATGGCACGGGTTTGAAAGGTGGTCTGTGACACCAATTCAAGACTACCATGAACTTGGGGAGGTGCAAGGGTATAACAGTATGACAAAGACAGTTGGAAGTTCTTGTTAGCTTCCTGGGCATCACCAATGGAAATGTAGTTTTGAAAATAATAGCTTTTCCTCCTGTGTGAATTTCTTGTGTGCCCATGTGAATGCCAGTGTGCACATCTGTGAAATGTAAGGAACAGGATAAACAGGAGAGCACTGCAAACTGTGTCACTGTTTTAGTTATATTTTTGCTGACAGAGCCAGAACCAGAACCAGATAAAGCATAGGAAACCTGAAGATACTTTTGTTGTAATAGACTTGGAAAATTATCCCCGCAGAGAGGTTGTTAGTCCACTCAGCTTTTTTAGGTACAAGTTAACTTACTCTTGAAATACAAACATTGCTGTCCTTTAGATATGTTCTTTTGCATCTAACATCACCATGTAGCCTCAATACTTATAATCCAAGGTGAACTTAAATGCATTATAAAAGGAAGTTGAAGGTTTATGACAATATAAAAAGGGCAACTGCTTGGGGGAATTACACAAATACATAGAGTGAATGCTGGAGTCTTAAATACAATCTCAGATTCTAGTAATTTTGTTTCAAAAAAGGATATATGAAAATAAAAAGTCACAGAAAGGGCAACAAGGATGATAAAAAGTATGGAGTATGTATGAGATACATGCTGGACAGACCTCAGTTTGAAAAAGAGAAAACAGAGGGTAAGCATGAGAGATGTGTATGATTATGGCAAGTGCAGAGAGGATGAGATGATTAGTTGCTGTTTTTTATAATGTACAAACAAAGGGAACACTGAATAAAATGATAAGATGGCAGGTTTTGACACCTTGTAAGTTTTAAGTTGTAGATCATTCATGGAAGGTTTGGAATGTCAAAAGTATAAGTGAATTCAGAAGTTTCCATGGGGGAAAGGAATGTGAAAAGTAGTTAATCACTGTTAGGAAGATGCAGCCTTGAAATGAAGACACCAGAAGTGGGGAGGATGTGCTAGGGGAAATACTCTTTCATAAATGCCCTGTTTATTAGAGACTTTTTGGAAACACGTGCTAATGGCTACTGTCACCAAAGAAGGAAGGCATAGGTAAACCGTAGCTGGGACTCAGCATGGCTTTTCTACTTATTCTGATTTAAACATTCCTGTGTGGAGAACGTGGTTGCTAACTGATGTTCTAAATAAATTTCCATGTAGGTTAGTATGTTTGTCCTCAGTAAATTCATCTTCTCTGAATGGCTGAGATAAGCAGTTGTTCTCCAAAGATATTCTGAAGTGTAGGTTGATAGTGACCCTGATTCCATACAATGGGTAAAAGGTAAATTGCCTTACAGCGTCGGGGGGACAGGCTACATGAGGGAATGATTGAGAACATGCACCACTACACTGCAATGGCGACTTAGCTTACACAAGTACAACTTTGATGTGCACCCTCTGAATGAATCTGTGCAATATACATTCAGTGATGATCATAAAACCCAATATTTGCATGGAAGTGGGGATTTGTCAAACCTACATGCTATGCATTGGTAATCTTACAGATTTTGAAGAGATCAGTAGTGTCCTGCAACAGTTGAAATGTCTATGTGTTCTGTAAATGCAGATTCAGAGGAAATTAATTTCTCAAATACAGAAACAGGTCTACTTTAGGAGGAGTGAGTTTGTTCAGTATGGCGAGGAAATTTCTACGTTTATCTTCGTCTCTGTCAGCTTTGATTTTGCATTCCAGGTGAGTCAAACATTGTTTGGTACGACTTGGCGAAACCAGTGCATACAGAGCTGCACTCTGACTACATGCAGCCCCTGGCTGAGATAAAAGCTCGGAACAAAAACCACATCCAGGGCATTCGACATCTAGTGCAAAACCTT